GAAAGAGGACTTTACACAAGGAACCAAGACCAGGAGGTTTTAGTACTGGAATGTCCTAAAACACTAGGACACATCACATGATTATTCTTCTCTGCAGGAAGATACTTATTTGTACTTTTCCTTTTTGCCTTTTTTTTTCTTTTTTTAATCCAACATAGCAACTGGTCTGAGTTTAAATAAAGACTACCCAACTGAAGAGTACTGTGTTTTGTTAGACCACTTCACCTGGCCATAACAAGATGCAGAAGAGAAAGACTTCGATGCACATTTTCACAAAGCTCACAGCAACAGGCTGCAGCTGCTCCGAACACTCGGGGCAGTTTTCACAGCCTCAGCATGGGCAGCTCCTGAAGAAAACTACAGAACAAAAACGACTTGCAAAAGAAATCCAGCCTTTTTTTTATTGCTAAATATTGCAAAATCCTGGACAGACCAGAGTGCGAGTGGCACTTTTTCTTTTTTAAGCAATTCTGTGTTAAGGTTCCCAGACAAGAAATCCTCAGGCAGCAGCATGACCAAGCACCTGCTTATAGCCTTCATTTTTTATCAGCTGCATAATGTAAAATTTACAGCGTAAATAGCAACATCCCTTTTCCCTCAAGTGCATTTCCCTGGAAAACAGCATCTACAGCTCATTTGGACTCCTACGCCTGACCAAGTCTGAGATGGCTTTGTGGAACAGAGTTGGATATACACTGTGCAGAGCGCGCACTGCTTCTGAGGATGCTCAGCAGAATTGAAAAGCCACAGCAAAGAAGCAGTTGCTCATGGTGCAGTTTTAGGAAAAGGGCATGAAATTATATTTGCATAGTAAGGGAGAAATCTGGGACCAAAGCAGCTCTCTTATGAGAAAAGGCTGAGAGACCTGAGCTGTTCAGCCTGGAGAAGGTTGAGATGGGATTTATCAATGCTTATCAATATCTAATGGACAGGTATCAAGAGGATGGGGCCAGATTCTTTTCAGTGGTGCCCAGCAATAGGACCAGGGGTGACAGGCACAAACTAGAACACAGTAATTTCCACCTAAACATGAAGAAAAACTTCTTTCCTGTGAGGGTGACAGAGATCTGGAACAGGCTGCCTGGAGAGGCTGTGGAGTTTCCTTCTCTGGAGACTTTCAAAAGCCACCTGGATGTTATCCTATGCAACCTGATCTAGGGAAACCTGCTTTAGCATGGGAGCTGGACTAGATGATCTCCAGATGTCCCTTCCAACCTCAACCATTCTGAATGACTCTGTGATTCGCTACCTCTCTACTGCATATTATCATCTCCAGCTGCCAGCACAACCCACTCACCCCAGCTTGGTCAAAGGAGTATTTCTTAAACTCTTTTAAGTCAAATAAAGCAGCTTAGACTAAAATGACTGGTGAAAATAATGGAGCAGTATCTAGGTGCAGCCACGATGACAAGAAAAGCTGGGCAGCAATCTCTGGCAGGAGTGCAGCAGCAAGTATTTAGACCAGCTGCACTCATCTCTGCTGCTGGTTCAGCCACAGCAAAAGATGTGTGACCACAGCCTCCTGAGATCAGATCGTGAATCAAGCTGGGAAATACCCCACAAAGATGGTGAGTTGGCTTCAAATACTTTTTTTCAACCAGCAAGTGTTCATTCCTTTGCTCTGCTCCTCACAGTATGTCTGGTGCTACAGCTGTAAATGTTGTTCACCTCTGGCTGGTCCCACACTGTCACTCTGCATTCTCCTTTCTGGGAGTACCTGGGCAAGAGCAGAAATCACCTATGCCTGGGTAAAAGAAAGGGAACCACAAAAGACTCAAATCCCTGTGAATTGATTGCTGCTCTGTAATCATCACACAAGTCAGAAAATTACTTCATTGACTGGATTTCTCACTGTACTTGGTCTTCCCTCTGTTTTTAGACTATGGTTTTCTGACTAGAAATTATTACTTTGCTTATCTGTATTTTAATATAAAACACTCTGGTAATTGAAAGGATACATTTATTGTGATGCAAAAAGTTAATCATACCTGGTGTATAGATCCATTTTACAGTCCTGACTTTCAGACCACACAGATGATCTGAATGCTCGAATCTGTCTTCAAGATACTGATTATTAGTAGCTTCCCCGGAGGCTGATCATTTGCTGATGACCTGAGATTCCCCTGGTGAGCTCTAGAGGGCACACAGCATTTAGCTTCTGCAGTAAGCAGCTTTTCCAGAGCTACTTGTGGTTTTGTGAAGTTCACCCGTACGTTTCAGTATCATTAATACCCTTATTGTTTTACACTGTTACTAACCTTTTCTAAAATTAGGTCTTTGGGGCTTTAATAATTCAATTATGCAAATAGGCAATCTGTTAGAAAAAAAAAATCAGAAGCATTAAATCCATTCAAATGTGGGAGATACAGTTTATGTTTTGTAAAATAAAACTTCAGAGAATATTAAAAACATTTTCATGTGATCACATGGGACAAAGTATATCCCTTCTGTGTGCAAAAGCTTTCAAATGTACAGGAATATAAAAAGAATACACAACTCATCCTACTTACATAGCATACTATGATTAATGCAGAGTAAAATAATAATGAATAAAAGAATAATGAGCAAAAGAACAATGCAATAAAAGAATATCAATTCCTCTTTGTAAACTTTGAGTTAGTTGCTAAATTTCCTTTTTTGGGGAAAATTAATATATTTGACATGGAAGTGGAACCTACAGATGGGACGAAGGAAACTGGTCTCCCAGCTTATATTTTAGCAGCTTGCAGGAAAAGGAAAGAGCCCAACCTTACTCATCATTTCCATGTCATGTCTGAAAAGTAGTAGCCAATAGCCTTCTAACTATGTCCTCTGAGGACAATAAACCAGGTCAGTTCTCTTTGGTTTGCAAATGGCCATATCCATGAAGGATTTCACTGCTAGAGACAGCCTGTGCACCACATTAAACATACCTTCATTTCTCCCACACAGTCACTCAGCTACTTATAAAATGGTTTTCACTTTTTGCTCTGTGGTACATCTTTGCACCGTTTCAATTTCTAGGCTCTGCTGGCTTTTTGTAATTAATTATTTATAAATAACTACATACTTTTTACAGCAATTAAGGTTTTCAGTTGGGAGCCAGAACAAAAATTTGTACCCAGCACATGGTTTGTACGTGAATGGGACTGAAATTCCTACACGGATCAATGTCACCCAGATAAATAAACCACAGCACTCTGTCTGTCCTCACAGGATTATAGAACCATAATAGTTTGAAAGGGGGCTTTCAAGGTCATCTAGTCCAACTCCTCTGCAGTGAGCAGGGACATCTTCAACTAGGATCAGGTTGCCCAGAGCCTGATCCAGCCTGACCTTGAATGTTTCCAAGGATGGGGCTTCTACCACCTCTCCAGGCAACCTATTTCAGTTTTTTACCACTCTCATAATAAAAATTTTCTGCTTTTTATGTACTCTAAAAGTCCCCTCTTTTAGTGTAAAACCATCATGCTAAAATGTTTGTCCTCAAATATTGGTAGGCAATGGAGTGCTGGTTGCACACACAGAGGGGACTTTATTAAATTATGAATGTAACAGAGCCAGAGCAAAACCTGCATTTGGCCTAAAACTCTCACTAAAGCCAGAATATGATGGCACCAGAAAGGAAACATAAGGTGTGGACACAGTGGCTTTCAGTA